TCGAAGTGGGATGGACAGGTTGGAGCGGCTAAACCTCCTCCTCCGCCTGGAAGGGACTTGTCGAACGACCCCAGGTGGAAGAAAGCCGCAACAACAGGTGAACAGGCCGGAGCGGCGGCTAGTCCTGCACCTAATCTCGAGGGGAGAGATGGAAGAGCCCAGTCGTTGCAGATACAGTATGGGGCACCGCCGGTTTTGAACCCTGAGCAGGAGAGGGAGGCGGCGAGGTTGAAGAGCTCGTGAGTTTCAATATTGAAGAGATGGGAAGAGAGAAGTAGAGACTGATTGGATCGTAGGGCCGAATATCATCGTCGACACGGGCTTTACATCCAGCGAGAGGCAAAGAAGCTCTTTGATGCTCAGGAGCAATCGAAGATTCTGGAGGCCACACTCACTCCTATCGTCCAACAATCCATATGTATTCTCCATCTCGTCCAAGCTACCGATGACGACTGCGTCCGCCATTCCCTTGGGGGAAGCTCAAAGAGGGACGTGAAGCTGCACGATCGCAACCAATTTGACGTGTTGCTCAACGAATTCCCCAGGGTTTTCGGTGCCATGAAGCTATGGTCCCAAGCTGAGGGAAGCGAACAATGTACGCGAGCAGAGAAGGAAATAGAAGGGGATATGCGGATATTGAAAGAGTATCTGGTCGCCGTTTACGCTTTCATTCTATCGAGGATCCAAGAGATCGAAAACTTCTGTTTTGGAGAATACATGGATAGGAACGTCTCCCTCCCTCCCACCTGCAGATGGGCCTTCCAACCTCCTCCCCATCCCCCTCATGACCGTCCGCTCAGCTCGGCTCAAGTCTTCCATTTCCAAATCAGGAGTCGAGAGCGCGACATTCGAAATTTTTGGATCAGGTTCCACGGTGCTGTAAACGCCACTTCACTCTCTCAGACCTTCCCTGCCTTCTGGGAGAAGGTGCCAAAGGATCTTTGGCCGCTCCACGTCTACAGTCCAGCGAAGGATGTCATCAATTTCGGGTTGGAACTTACCCGTGAACTGATGAGGAGGTGGAAGGTGGACGTGAAGCTTGAAGGCTGAAGCGCTTGCATTCTGAAATAGTTGAAGAAAACTCTATAGGAGTGGTATTTGAAGTTCAGTCAATTGAATGAGCGCGATTTTTATCTCGTATCCAGCTGCTGTGTACGTCTTCATCAAACTAGATATGTCATTGTACTATACCTCTTGTAGCATTCAATAAATGCAAATGCGTATTACACAGCATCAATGCACAAACCGTCAGCTGATTTTGAACTGTGATGACGACATCTCCTTAAGAAACGCGAAAGAAAAAGAAGAATCATCAGAATCATAAAGCGACTTCTTTCATATCCTCCGGTCGCAGACTGTCAAGTGAATTCTCCCCCTTCCTGTTGCCATCCTCTTCTCGCTCCTTCCCTACACTATCCAGGCTCGCTCCACTCGTTCGTCTCGCCCACCAACCGCTTATCCCTCCCGCAACAGTGCCAGTACTGTCTCTAGAATGTGAGGACTCGGAAATCGTTGTATTTGCAGAGTCGCGATGTATCAGCGGAGCCGGAGCGAGCGTCGCTGAAGAGGAAGCTGGGGGAGAAGTTGCACGTGAGAAGAACGAGGAGATGGATGAGAACGCGGAAGGAGTCGAAGGAGGCTGAGAATCGTATTGATCAGAGTCGGAGTGCGGCGGCGCAAATGCAACCTGTTCTGGAGGAGGAGATTTGGCGAATGAGGATCGTGTGGGACTCGGCGTCCTTGATCCAGTGGGAGTGTTAGAACTTGACGTTTGAGCTTTCGGCACGAAGAGTCTGGAAGAGATGAAGCTCCCAATCCCACTCGCGACCGCCGAGGCTTTCTCCTTCGCAGCATCAACACCACCCATAACTTGACTTCCAATCTCACTTCCGCCTCCACTGCCACCAGAAGCAGCTCCTTCTGCTTGCCTGCGAGCCACCTCACTCCTGATACCATTGTATGCCCTCCATACACCTTCTCTCCCCACCTCAAAACCCTTCGTCGCCGCATCCCTAGCAGTTGCTGCTCCTTCATCGATCCTCAAAGTATGGAGACCATCTGCCAAGCGGATCCCGACGTCTTCAATGGCATTTGTCAATCCGTGCATAGGGTGTCTCGGTTCCACGAGATCGAATAGCACCGAATCTGTGTTCCCGTCCCAAATTTTAAAGGCCGGTGTTGCGCGAAAGAGGTTGATGTAGGTATCGTTGAAAGAAGATAACAGGTTCGGATCGAATTCTATCACCCACCAAGTCATGGTTAATATTCCTCTTCCTTCCCTTAATAAACGAAAGGCATACCCGCACCGGTGCCACTGATAATTCCCACTCCCCCTTGATTCCCTCGTCCAAGGAAATCCACAAACTTTGTGGCAGCAAGCATGGAGCAGAGATATTCTTCAAACTTCGCTCGTAAGAAATCATCAGAGCCGACATAAGTGGATCCTATCGGTCGCGAGGGGTCCTCTGGGTTCCAGGATTCTGTGACTGTGGTGACAAGCTATTTTCACCCGCTCTTAACAAAGAGATACGAGAGAAGAGTATGAGGCGACGAACTTCGTCCATCCACTTCCGATCAGCGGCCGTCAGCGTCAAGGCGATCGAAAGTTTGGGGTCATAGACCTCGATGTTAGCGGTCTCTATCTACCCCTCCTTCACTAAGCCTTCCCCTGACCAAATTTGGAGGAAGGGGTGGATACGTACATTGACGAGGACATCAATTTTGCATTCCCGTTGCTGCTGGAAGATAGAATTCGTTGTTCCGACAACAAAGGACTCAGATGCCAACATGTCGATCTGCTGAAGAGGGAGATAAGGCTGAAAAAACGAGTCCTGTCCATACCCTACTTAGCAGTCGCTCCCTCTGATGGAAAAGGACATACACGTCCAAAAACGTCCAATGGCATCCCAAGGAACCTCAACAAGCTCTCCCTCTCGCTCGTCCGGAGTGTAGAAGCACGTTTCCTCCTTACAGTGACATTATCCAAGAGGGGAGATGCGGAATCGTCCAAAGTGGAGAGGAGGGATGGAATGAGTGACACGAGGCTGTACTGGGTGTTGCAGAGTTTCTCGACTGGGAGGTGGGGAGAGAAGAACATGATTTTCTTTTGGAGGAGAAGGAGTTTGAGGAGTGTGAGCGTCTTGAATCGGAAACGGTGAATGAGTTCGCGGAGACTTGTTCCTAAGTGTACCATCACGTATCGACATCATAGGTTCAGTCCAGGCTGAGGAGGGACGCACCCATGTACAAGTCAGTTTCTCCGCCTACTCCATCCACTAAGGAGCCATAGAATTCTTCTAATATCCGCCGATCCTCAAAGTCCCTCTGTTCAAAATATGCTCTCGTTATCACCCCAAGTCGATCCCTTATAGGTCCAAAGATAGGTTTATCAGCCAATACGACTACTGCCTTTTGGACAGTGGAGCGCGTGATATTTGCCCCTCGATTGAGGAGGGAAGACGAGAGGATCTGCCGATTACAGGAGATGCCAAAGACGGTGCTCCCGGAAAGAGATGGTAAGAAGAGATGAAAGTACGCATGATCTTCTTCTCTCTATGGAGTCCCATAAATCACAGATACGATGGAAGACGGAGAAAAGGACGAACGAGATGTGCTCCATCGGGTAGAGCCAGGAAGGGCAGGGCTGTGTCGAGCTCAGGGGAACGGATGGAAGCCGGATACGCGTATTCTACAGGTGAGAGGGATCAGCTGCAGACTATCAAAGAGAAGACAGCCAGAGAGGCAGGGAAGAAATGATATTTGACCTGCAGGCCGAAGAACCAGAGCTTCGCTGCAAGAGATAATGGCATAAAGATAATTCTCGCGTCGACAAGACAACTAGGTAAATGAAACCGTTGACAATTTAATTGTTTCTCTTCCTCAGGTGCGTCAGGAGGACCTGCCTCCAGTGGAAAAGTTGGTTTCTTCGAAAGCTGGCATTTCTACTTTCGAGGAAAAAGCTTGTATTTTGCTTTTGGAGAAAGTTAGAGACACTTAGAGTGACAGTGCGCAGAGCTTTTACAATAACAAGCACAGCTCAGCAGGGCATACATTAGACAAGTTTTCTAACGCGCAAGGAACCTGCAGAGCAAGTCGGTTTATCTGCTTCACAGAGCAAGATAGGAAATAATTCAAGGAGCGTGTCAATCCGGAGCATTGAAATCATGAAGATGCTTTTTCTCTTTCTCTGAAAGGATAATGGAACGGGACGCATTGCACTCTGTACCGCCTCCTTCAACTCTTCTTAGAAAGAAGAAAGTCACGATCCAAATGAGGAGGAGAGTTCTCGCTTGCTTTTGCCAGCGCATTGCACCGGACACTATTGCCAAGGAAATAACGAGAGCACTCACCAATTTCAGGCCCAATGAGATGATTGAAGCCTACCACGAGAATACCATAAATATGGATATCTCCTTCAACTTCCTTCTCCCTTCTCCCTCCACTGCTCTCCGCAGTTTCCACATTTTCCACTCGTCTCTCTTCTTCCGTATCCCTCTCACTGAAAGATTGCACATTCGCAGGAGCAGACGGCGTCTCTGGCTCTCCTAAAGCAAACGGAGTAGAGGTATTGGAAGGCGTGGACGGCGCGAGCTGGATGGCGATCGGCTCCACAGGTAGAGGTATTGGTGCTGGAGGAGACTTGGGGGTAAGAGGCACGTCCTCCTCCTCCACATCATCCAAAGATACATCAACTGTACCCTCCATATCTGCTGCAATGTGCTCGAGAGGCGACTTAGGAGGAGATTCGGGAGCGTGGGCAAGGGAGAGAGTTGCAGTTGGAGGAGTGAGTGGGATTGAAGTTTCCATGATGTGTGTCTGATTGATAAATGTATGGCTGTAAGGTGCTGACGGATAGAGGGCCTGCCGTTTGAACCTTTCAGGGGAGAACAGCGCTTGGATGTTGGGTTCGGTTATGTGGGCACGTTGACGGCGCAACAGGAGAATAGCGTATTAGTTTACTTAACTTGAATATTGTCAATTGCCACATTCACCAATAACAAGCTTAGATGGTTCAACGGTAGAATCGCTCGTTGCCAAGCTGCAAGTTCGAGTGGACCGGGGTTCGACTCCCCGTCTAAGCAGTCTTTTTGCATCCCCTTCTCCTTTGGAGAAATGACATGAAGGACCACTTGTTGCGAGAGGGAATATGCAAAGTGAGAGCCCTCCTCGAGCTAACTTAATTTTTTTGTCTGCCTTATTACCCAAGGTTCAAGTTCCGTTGCTACATGCTATGTATTAGTCCTGAATAAGAAATGCTTCACCAGTGACATCGTTACATCCAGGGCACTCGGTCCCTCCACCTCCGTGGTAATTCTACTCCCATCTTGTAACATTTCACTGCCAAGCTGCTTATTCAGCACTGGAAGCCGTCTTAGCCTCTCTAAGCTCATCTTCATATTGTCGAAATTACATTGCAGGGTTAGCAGCATCATCGTACCTCTAAGGAGGGACCCTCCTTAATATCTTGCGATGATGCTGGGGTCCGCCGTTGTGCCCTTGGGGACTATCCTCCATACACCGGATAAGCCGACGAAGGCTTCGAATAATCCCATGGATCCTCCAATGTTTGTCAACGTCACTCACTGCCATCGAATATCGTTGACCAAGACGAGGAAGGGCTGGTTTTCCTTTCCATCAGGTGGAGTCGTTGGACTTCCCTCCACAAGTTTTCAATTCCGGGGGACAGGGGGGGCAAAGGATGG